GGTGTTGTGCAAGATAGAAAAGGAAAGAGGGGTGAAATGCTGATTTCTAAGGGAACATGCCTGGGATCAAAACCCCAGGTGATTCCATGTAGTCCACAGTGCAAGCCTGCCCACAAATTTAAGAGACCTGGCAACCGCTCTAAGAGTAATTAACTGGTCGTTGCGTTACGGGGTTTTTGCATTAGAAAGATGTATAGATAGGGGGTCTTGTCTACACCTGTGCGAGCAGTCGGGGTCCATTAAGAGGGCTAAGAGCCTTTGGCTAACATCAGGGAGTAGCCCTGATCAGAAAGCCTCAATTGCTCCTTCGTCTTTAACGGTCCCATGTGAAGACTCAGACCAAAAATAAAAGGAGGAAAAAGAGGAGAGACTGCCAATCCCCAAGGGTGGGATGGCTTAGAGGCAAAGCTGCCTTTATCCTCCTGATGGGAGGTGATAGGAAAAAGAGATCGCCGATCCTCAAGGGTGGGATGGCTTAAAGGCAAAGCTGCCTGTTACCCTCCTGATGGGAGGGATACTCACAAACTCTGCTCATTCCAGGAGCTTCATGTTCAGGCGCCAGCTGCGGGGGTCTCTCCCTCTCTTCTCGGGTTGTTGGCCACCAGTCCATGAGGGCAGGGGGAGCAGAAGTGGTGAACGGAGTCAGGATGGCCAGTGAGCACTGACAGAAGAAAGCCCTTCCGGGGAGGCTTGTTCCATGGCACAGTGAAACAGAAACAACTCTAGATGCAGTGATACAGCTCCAGACTCAGTGAAACAGCTCCGTTTTTTCAGTGGGAGAGCTAGAGAAATTATAGTGTGGAGGCAGTACCCAAAGCCTCAGCTGATAGGTGCTCATAGTGTGCTTTATTTACATGTGGCAGTGGGCTCCTATCATCTGACTATCAGGCAAAGCCTGATTATCATATAGAAAAAAACCTGGGAGTAGTTTTTACTCCAGGTGACTGTGCCAAAGGTCATGTTTCAAATAAGGTCAGACATCCGTGCTTGGTGGCACTTTCCAGGTAAGCCAGGAAGAGATCAGGAGGCCCCCTGCTGAAAAGGGGAGTCCTTCCTTTTGGTGCCGAGCCCCTTAGGGCTATCCAGACATGGAGAACTACAATCCTAACAGCAGGGTTTCCCAACACATTTCAACTTTTAGCCAAGAAACTGGCTACTTTTCTTTGGGGTCTTTTAACCCTAACTGCCTAGCCAATTCCTACCTCATATTCTTATCACACCATCCTCTGAAGAGGTTACCCAAATTGCCAATAGGGAAAAGGGACACAGACCACTCTGGCTTCTTCCAAGCTGAACAGGAACACAGGGTGCAACAATTGGAGTACCCCTTCAGTGGGTCTATCTAAAAGACTCCCAGATTGCATAACTCTTATCTCTAGGATGAAAAGAAAGTCTTTGAATCCTGAATAGGAGATATGAAGAAGTAAAGGCAAGAGTAATTAGCATTACAAGTTCTAGACAGGGAACTAGAAAAATGTCAGAAAAGGTAATTTTCAAATGTTCATATGCGAGTCCATTGGAATTTCTTGACAAGGGCTTCCAAAAGCATCCCTCTATTGGGTTCCTCCTCATTTTTCTTTTGTCTGTAGCGGCTGAACTTGAGAGTGATGGATTGAGGATTTGCTTTCAGGTATTTTGTAGCTGTTGGAGTGGTTAGAATCAGTGTCAGTTCCCTCTCAAGAGCTTCTACATAGGGGGAGAAAACGAATTTATCCATCATCTTAGAACAATAGCTGGTTGTCTCCCTGCACTACTGGTGGGCACTACAGTACTGGAGACCGAGATTTGAAGTCTTATGTCTGAACAGCACTTTCTGGTTAGGAATAAAATTGTCAATGAGAAATAATTGTCTAAATAATTTTTTATATAGGCTTAAGTCTAATGTCTGGGACATGTAATCCCTTGAAATCTTTGGTTATACTTTCCTTTTGGGTGTTTGAGACCATGTAGTTAGCCCAAATAAATCAATTTATTTTTACACTTAAGGTCATTTGAGTATCTGTTTCTCAGGGGTCACATGGGCTTGGGAGGAGCTCCTGGCTCCTTTCTTTTACCAGTTCCATCTATGTGAAAATAAGTCAAAGGTCCTGCTTGACTATGACTGGTTTCACTTGGACGCCTGAATGAGATGTTTTCTCTGAGTTGATCCTCCTCTTTGCTGACTGGGCACTGGTTCAAGTCCATCTTGTGGGATCTGCGTGTCCTCTCTGAACAAGAGGGCAGGTGACTCATCACAGTTACAGGACATTTTGAGGGTTTTACTTTTTGAATTCAGGCAAATTGTATGTGTATATACTGGTAGCTGTTTAAGATAACTTGTTTATTTGGATTTGATATTGGTTTTTATAATTGAGTGCCTTATCGTTTGAAACAGTATTGGTGAAACTAATTGGTCATCTCAAAACTATAATTAGTTTCTATTCTAGGAAGAAATTTTTCAGGTAAAGGAATTAAGTGTAACTCAAGTGTGATCTTGAAAGAATTTTTTTTTGGTGTATCTCAGTGCCTTTTTCTGGAGTACACTATACTAATTGCACAGCTGATACTTATTCCAGACATTACTATTCAAAACAATATTCCAGGCAAAAAGCTTTGAAAAGAAATTCATTACGTGTATAAATATTTCTTTCCTCATGAGTGAGCAGCTTATTCCTAGAGAATGTAAGAATGACTGTGCTTATTGAGAATATTAAATATTTTCCTATTTAATACTTATTATGAATGCTGATTTAGTTCTATGTGTATGTGTGTGATGTGAATGCATGTTTGTACATGCATCCATAAGTGTGTGGGTGCATGCATGTGTTTATGTGTGTGGTTGTGCGTGTGTGTGTGTGTCTGTGCCTGTGTAGGTGCACATGCACATATTTGCTCATGCATGTGGAGGTCTGACCTTGACATTGGGTGTCTTCCTTGATTAGTCTCTACTATGTTTATTGAGATAGAGTCTCCTTGAACCCAGAGCCAGCTGATTCTGGTTAGCCTAACTCTGAAGATTTGCCTTGCGTCCCCTCTCTCGCCTCCTGAATAGTGGGATTACAGGCAGCTGCCATGCTTTCCCAGTTCTTATGTGGGTTTTGGGGATCTAAATTCAAGTCCTCCTGCTTGTTTTATGAACCGTTTATCTACAAAGACATCTAGGGGTAGTCCAAGTTTATTATTATTATTATTTTTGGTCTTTTTGAGACAGGGTCTCCCTGTAGCCACAGCTGTCCTGGAACTCACTATGTAGACCAGGCTGGCCTTGAACTCACAGAGATCCACATGCCTCTGCTTCCAGTATGCTGGGACTAAAGGCATGCGCCACCATGCCTGGCTCAAGTTTATTATTTTTAATCAAAATAAATTAGATTAGATTAGAATTTGTATAACTTTCTGTACGCAGTTTATAAGGAACTCATGTAAAATGTTGCAACATATTAATAGACAGTGATTTGTGATATAGGATATCAAAGTTATTAGCTTTCTTAGCTATGGAGATGACCACTGTAATGGTTGGTTAGTAAAATGTAACCAGTGATAGCTTTCGAAGCAAGAAAGTGGTATTATTTTGTTTAATTAAGAAAGTAATCATTTTCTGATATAAAATAATCTCAGGGATTAAACAAGTTAATAAATAAAAAAAAAGAAGACCAATTCTTGTCACCCAGGAGTTTTTAGCTGTTTCTAGTTTCCTGAATAACTTTTTGGCTTCTTGCCCAATTCCTGAGTTCTGTGCTCGGTTTTTATCTAGTTTGAGTTTTCATGGGATTTGTGCATGTTGTCACCATTGCTGTAAGTTCATATGGACAAGTTCCTAGCCAACTGGAAAACTCTGTTTCCTGTTGTCATCCAACACCCTGGCACCTACAATTTTTCCATTTCACAATGTTCCCTGTGTTCTGGGTGGCAGAGGTTTAATATAGGAGTCCTATCCAGGGACACACACTCTGCAATCTCTTATTCTCTACATTTTGCCCAGTTGTGACATTCCGTGTTAATCACCTGCTGTTGCATGAGGAAGATTTTCTGGTGAGAGTTGAAACATCAAAGAAACTTCTTTTTGCATCAGACAGAAACTAATACAGAGTTCCACAACTGCTCAAACATAGAGAATAAGTATGTTAGAGATGTCCAGCCCAAATCGACACATCTATTATGAAACCTCTACAAATAAGGTTCATGGGACATAGCACAACTGAGAGTAGAGAGAATATTAATGCATCTCTCAACTCACCAAGTCCAGCTTTAATTTGAGAGCTGGGGATCAAACTCATGTCCTGGTCCTATTCAGCTGGTCCATTTCCCACTGATTCATCTCCCCAGGGAAAAATATGATAATTCTTATGGAAAAGTCAATAATGTAAATTATTGATCATTAACATGTATTTACTACAACATTTTGTTGGGTTAATTTTAAGAATTTTTTGATAATTTTCAAATTAAAAAAAATTCTTGAGATTTTCATGTCAGTACTGTATTTGCCTCATTCCCACCTTGCCTTTCCTCCCCCAGCTCCTCTGTACATTCCCCTCTCAATTTCTTGCCCTTCTCTTTGATTATTTCATTATATGTACGTGGCTGTGGACCCTAGAGGAGAACCTACTGTGGCCACTTTCCTAAACCAAAGAAATTTATAATTATATTCTAAATTTTGATTCTATATTCACAGATAAGTGTAGCTTTCACCAATCAGTAAAGAAGCTTCTATTGCAATAGATAGAGACTATTACACAAATCCTCAACTAATCACAATGCAGAGAATATGTGACTGTGTGGTGTCTAGTTACAAATCAGAGATCTGTAGTGTACCCAGATTTTTAAAGATTTTTTTTCAATCTCATGAAATTCCATGAAATAATTGGGAAATCAAAACATGTAGTTGATTTTTATTGGGAACTGGAGAAGAAAGGCTGGAGTCTTCCTGCAGAAGGTAGTAAATCACTTCTTCTCAGGGTCATTAGAGAAAAAGAGAGATGATATGAAAATGGTAATTCTATAGTTTAATATGAATGAACAACATGGTTTCTTGTCTCCTTTCTCATGTCAGAAGCACTGAGACAATAAAGGGAGGAGGAAATTTTACAGAGATCACTGAATTCATCCTCCTGGGATTCTCAGATTTCCCCAGAATCACAGCACTGCTCTTCATCGTATTCCTGCTCATCTACATCACAGCTCTGACCTGGAACCTGTGCCTCATTGTTTTAATAAGGATGGATTCCCACCTCCACACCCCTATGTACTTCTTCCTCAGTAATCTGTCCTTCATAGACCTCTGCTATGTCACCTCAACAGTCCCTAAACTGCTCGTCAGTTTCTTCCAGGAAAAGCAAACTATTAGCTTTGTGGGCTGTGTAATTCAGTATTTCTTCTTTTCACTGCTTGCAACAAGTGAATCTTGCCTCATGACAGCCATGGCCTATGACAGGTATGCTGCCATTTGTAACCCACTGCTCTATTCATCCATCATGTCTCCTACCCTCTGTGTTCAGATGGTGATGGGATCTTATATGGGAGGACTCACAGGTTCTTTACCTCAGATTTGTGCTTTGCTGCAGCTTCATTTCTGTGGACTGAATGTCATCAGGCACTTCTTCTGTGATGTATCCCAGCTCGTACATCTATCGTGCACTGATCCTTTCTTTGTAGAAGTCCTGCTTGGAATATTAATAACAATATTTGGGATAATGAATGCCTTAGTTATCTTGATATCCTATGGCTATATCATGTTGTCCATCATGAAGATCACATCCATTAAAGGCAGGATCAAGGCATTCAACACCTGTGCTTCTCATTTGACAGCTGTTTCTCTCTTCTATGTTTCTGGTGTCTTTGTCTATTTGCGTTCCAGCTCTGGGATTTCCTCCAGCTTTGACAGATTCACTTCCATGGTCTATATTGTGGTGATTCCCATGTTGAACCCCTTGATTTACAGTTTGAGGAACAAGGAAATCAAGGATGCCATGAAGAGGCTGCAGAAGAAGACAGGCATGTGGTAAAGTCTCAGATTCTGAGATTTTTGACATTTCTGCTCTGTCAGTGTAACCATCATCTACAAAAAGTGCACTTAATGAGAATACTATGAAATTCCTGAGAATTGGAAGGAGAAATACTTATTTAAATACTCAGCACTTCAATATGAATCAGTAGCCAACAACATATCCAGAAAAACATTCTCTTTCCCCCAATGGATCATACGGCTTTATCTAGATGACAAAAGCTACTTAAGAGTTTATAAGAGGGTACTTCTACAACAACCTAAAGATTCACCGTTTCATTAGATTAGATGTACCCAGGAAGTGATGATCAGATGTTGATGTTAATATTTTTCAGTAATATTCATATGATGTGTTGCATGTTTGAGTTCCCTGGGAACTTTTTTGTTCCAGGTATTGACTGCATTTGAGGTTGTTCAGAACTTTTATACATAGGTTCTAATTGGTGTTGTCATTAAAGTAGGGTTTTAAAGAAGAAATCTCAGTGCAGTAATTACTTTCTGTTGTGGCGCTAAACCACGGTGAGTCAGGTAACAAGTAGAAGGAAGGGTTTATTGGACTTATGTTCCAGAGGGATAAGAGAAAGGAAAATGTGACATGGCAGTGGGCACAGCTGGAGCAGAAGGCTGAGGGCTCACGTCTTCAAGCAGGCACAAGAATCAAAGAGAGACAAACTGGAAATGGGGCAAATCTTAATCATACCTCCAGTGACGTACTTCCTCTTTGATGGTCAGACCTCCTATTCCTACTAAAATACCACCAATTGGGGACAAATTATTCAAGTACTTGGAACCTGTGTGACACTATCATTGAAACCACTATCTTTGTTAAAGTGAAAATACCATGTTTTTAAAAATTATTTTTATTAGTCCAAAGAGAGGTCATTTTTAACACACTTTTCCAGAAATAACTTGAAGCAGGTTACATAAAAAATATACACAATGAAGTTTAAGGGTGGAAAAGTCATGATTAGAAATCAAAGACTAATTCCCAGTGTGGTGGCCCCCATCCTTAATCCCAGCTCTTTGGAGGCAGAGCCCATCAGATCTCTGTGAGTTTGAGGTCAGCCTGGTCCACTCAGTGAGCTCCAGGCCAGCTGGGGTCACAGGGAGACCATGTCTCAAAAAGACCAAAACAAAACAAAACAAACAAACCTCAACAACTCCCCCCTCCTCCAAAAAAAAAAAAAAAATCCAAACAAGAATCAACAACACCAAAAAACAGATCTAAGGATTTGCCAACATGGGGTCAATTTTGGTGGAATAATGAATGTTTCTATTAGCTCTGTGAGAAATTTTCCTCATGGTGTTCTTAGCTTATATATCATTATCTCCTTCCTACATGTAGCTAAGGTTGACTGATTGGGTGGGAGGAGTAACTGACTCTCCCCCTGAGTGTGGGAAGGAGGTGTGACTACAGCTTGCCAGCATAGTAGTTGGAGGACATTTCCAGTTTACACTCCGCCCCTTTCCTCTGGCTCTTACAAACTTCCTGCTACCTCTTCCTCAAATTTCCCTGATCCTTGGAGGGAGTGGCAGATGCCGGGTGATCTCTCTTGTATCATGGCGAGATACTGACCTCTTGGGCCTCCCCATCATTCATCTTCAAGATGTCACCACTGATCTATCTCAGTGTCATTTCCCCTACTATAAAGAAAAATGGAAGGAAGTAGACACATCTAATCAAACATGAATGTAAATACAAATGACTAGAAGATATCCCAGTAGGTGTACCATATTCATTCAACAGTGTACTTACCATGGGTTCCCTGCTGGGGCCTGTAGCCTTCCCTGACACAGGTGCTTGGCCTGGTCTATAGCACCAGATATGTGTTTCACCCCTAGGAGTGGGGGGCCTTATCTAGTTAGAGATTTGTCAGTTGTACATATGTTAGTCGAGCCATTATTGCACTGGCAGGCATTGCTTGGCATATCCGTAGTGTGCAGCACACTGGATCCATTGTTGAACAGAATTATAGGAGATCCTTTTCCCCCAACCATCTGCATAGCACCTTTTGGCAATATGAAAGCCATCCATCCAGTGTCATGGAGTTTTTAGCTCTGTCTCTTCTCCTGTGCTCATGTCATGCAGTGTCTTCAGCAATATGGCCTTACCAACCTTTGTAGTGTACAATCAACATTAGTGGCAATAGGTTTGGTTAATTTGGGCAGTTTTTATACTCTGAATGCCTTTTGTAAACTGTTCTTCAGGTTTTAAAGCCTTCCAGAATCTCCTCAGTACCAAATTAGGTTTTCTATCAATTTTTGGGGGGGAATTTGGGCTCAACATAAATCTTGCCACATTTGTCTTTGAGTAACCTTTTGTAGGTTGTTCTGTTATTCTACAAACATCTTTTACCTGCTGGTTTGAGTCACTTATATCTACTAAAGCCCCTCTCACCTTACAAAGATCCTGTCCCATTAAAGGACTTAGCAAAACCATTAAAGCTCTATACCATTCTCAAGAACCCAGTTGAATTAAGCTTTCCTTTATATCTCTGGTGAACATAGAGATCTGGTGAACATATCTGGCCCAGCAAACTGGGCATCATACATTACTTTTCTCATACCTAGTTCTCTCAGTAATGCTTGTCCCTCCTTTATAGTCCTCAGCCTCTTTAATCGTGGGAGCTTCTCTTGGTGATGACCACATATTTTTTATGCTTCACAGCAGCCATTTCATTAGGGACTTGCTCCCCTGCATTGGCCTAGGTTGAACAGCGTATGTCACAAGGACATAGGTTACATAATTCAACTGTGAAACTTGTGAAGGACTTATACTGACATTATTTGCTCCCATGTCCCATACCCTCACGAGCCACGTGGTGAGGGGCTCTTTGATTGCTTGAATGGAAGTCTTTCCTAGTTTCCCAATGTGGAATATTTTCTCCTAGGTATAATACTGTTAACTTTTTCCTCCTTTTGTATCAAAGGTTGAATCTGAGAAACAGCTTTAGCTACCATTCTTTCTAGGTTTTTTTTTTTTTTTTTTTTTTAAATTACTATCTCTTTCCTTGGGTTCTTTGACTCCTGGTTTCCTAACCTTACACAAGTTAAAAATCTCCCATTTTTCCTCTCTCTTAACCTCTGAGTCCAAGACTGAATTTGTTAGTGACTCCTTAGCCTTTTCAGCCTCTACATGGGCTGCCTTTGTTTCAGAGAAATCTTTTATTATGCAAAGTGGCCACACCCCCTCTCTAGATTCCCCTTTTGCTTCCAAGGTTTGCAAACTTTTTTTCTAAGCTCTCTATGATTTTTTTAAAGAATTTTCACACACAAGTAACTGAACTATCTCCCCACATTTACAGGACAGCTGTGGCCCAGGGATTTCCCCCTTTGAGTCTGTCTGTATCTGTGTGGCCCACATATTTTTAGTTACATATTTTGTGATCCATTGTGCAACACATGTGACCATAGCTAACTGCACTAAGCAGATGGGGTTTGGCCACCCTCTCCCCTGGGTTTGGGAATCTGAACCTGGCTCCCTTTCAATCAGCTCATCGGATGCTGCTGGAACCATGATGCTCCCCAAGGCCCACATCTTCATGTTTTTCCTGGACTCCTGCAGTTTGCCTATCCAGCCATGCTATGCCAAGTGTTTCAATATCCCCCCCCTTCTTTGGAGACTCACACTCATGCCCTCTGAGGCCCCAGACCTGACAGATGGACATAAGACATTTCTATTTGGGTTTTACACAGTAAATGACTTCTCGGGGAGAGTGACTTACAAAATAACAGCTTCTCATAACCCACACACCATTCAAGTCCTGCCCATAGTCTCCATTAGCACTGTCTCACCCCATGGCCTGTGTGCCTCATCTTGCCCTGTGGAGCCCATGAGACAGGCAGGAGCCCTGCTGTTTGCTGCTTCCTGGCTGGCTACATGCTTCACTTCCTGAGTTCCAATATGGCTGTGGCTCCACCCCATTTCCCAGGGTGCCCCATGTCACCCCATGCTTGTGCCCATCGCCCACCTTGCACCCATCACCCACGCTTTTTGGAGGAATGAAGAATTTCCAGCCTATACACCCCTTCTTCCAGCTCTTACAAGCTTTCTGCCCACCTCATCCTTGAAATTCCCTGAGCCTCAGAGAGGGTGATATGTGTGGGGTGATCTTCCTTCCATTGTGGCAGGGCACTGGGCCTTCAAGTCTCTGCATCATCTGTTTGCCATGGGCTGATGGCTCATTTTAGTTGTATTCCATCTACTATAAAAACACCAACAGCAAGAGGCAAGAACATGTAAACAGTGACTGTTGTAATAACCTATGGGCATGAACACAAATGCTTGGATGGTACTTTAGCAGGTGCATCACATCCATCTAACAGCACAATTGCAGTGGTTTCTCCACTGTGGCATAGATCCTCTCCTGCCACAGGGGGTGGGCCTGGTCTACACTACTACATGTGTGTTCCATTCCTAAGAATGGATCCAATTGAAAATTTGCTGGTTGTACATACACTAGATGGACCACTATTGCACCAGAGGAACATCTCACTTCGCATGTTGATAGTGCAACACATGGAAGGGGGAGTCCCTATTTGATTAGGATGATAGGAGGCAATTCTCCCTCAGCCATCTGCATAGCAGGTGAAAGCACTATGAAAGCCACCCATCCAGTGGCAGGGAATTTTCAGCTTAATCCAAGCTTGATTTCTCCCACTCCTGTGCTCACATCATGTGATGTCTTCGGCAATAAGGCCTTACCAACCACTTCAGGTGTACAACCAATATTATTGGCAATCACCTTTATTGTTTTGGGGACCTCTATGGCCCTTTGGCAAACAGTACATAGGGAGGCAGCCCACCCCTGGTCCTGGGATTTTCATTTAACAACTGTTTGGCTCTGGAAGGGCCTTTTTTCCACCCCTGTAGGGTGCTTATGGCATTTAACTGTTCCTTTAGCAACTCGTTTTTTCCTTTAATTAACCCTGCTCCTGTAGGATTACAGGGAAGGTGAAAAGACCATTGAACCTGATTATTTTCAGCCCAGGCTTTCACTT